ACGCCTTAACCAACTAGGCGATTGAGGCTTTCGTTGGAAGTTCGAATCCGTTTGGAGGCAATATATATATATATATATATATATATATATATATATGTATGTATGTATATATGTATATATAATACAAATATTGTTACTATTACTATATTATTGTTACTATTACTATATATATGTATATTCATATATATATATGTATATATATATATATAAATTTCATTTAAAAATGAAGCATTAAATTGCTCAATTAAAAGCATTAAATACGTTTCAACTTAGAAGACAGATTTGTTGTCACTGATTTTCAAACCTTTTTATAGTTTACTATAAAAATCTTTTAATGCACTTTACGTCATTGATTGTCAGTTAATCTAATGCTCTGTCCACACTATCAGGTAATCATAAAATTAAACATAAACATAGTATGAACAGAGCTTTAGAGTAGAGGCCCGTATGTAACAGATATTACCGACGATAGGGCTTTAGCGTATTGGTAAAGATGTTTTTGTTTTTCATGACAGTATGTATTTATAGCTATTTATGCATTCGTCTTAATCGTTAATCAATATTGTTGCAACTTCCATAGGTTCCTAATGGTCCAGAATACACATTAACATCATTGAATCCAGTTAGTTTAATGCAAGATATAAAACCACCAGTTCCAATGCCTGAGGTTTTACAACAGCAACAACAACAACAACAACAACAACAGCAGCAGCAGCAACAGCAACAACAACAGCAGCAACAACAGCAACACCAACAGCAGCAACATCAACAGCAACAGGTTGTCACAACAAGTTATCAACCAGGTATGTTTAAAGGAGACATTTACAACTAGAAGTAGATCTCTCACGAATGACGTCATGTTCGCGCGTACGTTTAATATGCAAAAATTTTATGCGCGTATAAATATAAGCCTACGCGATGTATATCCTATCACAGGAAAAGGGATTTCTGGATGTTTCACATAAAATGTATTGTAATCTTATAAAGGGATTGATAAAAATTATGACGGAATTCTTGGGAGAGACACTTTAATACTATTCATACTTTTGCGTAGCACGTCGACACTTGCAGTAAAACCTGCGCACACAGCCTAACATTATACACACATATCGAAGCTCGTATTTCACTTGCATGTATTTTAATCACTATTTAATTTATTATTTTGTATTTATGAAAGTTTGTATTTCAATGCATGTAAATCACTGTGTGCATGCCGATCTTGTTTTGCTATTTTAAATCCTTGTATTGACAACATTCCTTTGCGCATGCGCTTAAAACCGTATCCAGAGACTTTTAACCAATCAAATTTATCGACGATCTGTCATTTTGTGAGTCAATATTGTAGTGCATGCTTGTTACTGTACATTGTTTTAATTGCTGTCTTAGTAATCCCGAAAATCGAGAAAGTGAACTCGTTGAGTAGCCCCACTCTGACTGTATTGCAGCCTGTAAGTGTCGCGTCCACATCCACTTACCAGAATATCACGGACGTCCGTGCTCAGCAGACGTTTGCTCAATTCACTGGTAATTATAGTTGTGTGTATTTGTTACTTATGATGAGGGGAGGGGCCAGGGTGTTTTATTTAATTGACGTACTTTTCCAGTTTTGA